CATGGGGCTTGAACATGGATGAACTATTTTTGTGCTTTCTTACTTTTATCTGAAATCTTCAGAGCTTTTATTTGATTTGTGCTCTGTACTCAGTTATTTTTTCCCGTTCTTTCTGCTCTCGCTCTCCTTGCAGGGATATGCAGCTGGAAATGCCATTCCAAGTCCACTAAAGAATGTGGAGAAAGCATTTCTGAAAAAATATTGGGCAAAATGGAAGGCTAACCATAGTGGTCGCTGGTATATGAGTTCCTATCTGCGGTTGTTTACATTTTGCTGTATTGAAACTTGGAGAAAAAAAATATTGCTGAATGTCTGCTGCCATTTTTATCGTGGTCTCCTTAGACAGAAAAAGCTTACAAATGTTCACACTGTTATCCTGCTTTTTGCTTGTGCTGTAGCTTAAATCTGATTATGTTGTATGAGCAATAACCCCTTTTCTTCTCTAGTCATCAAAATTTACATGTTAGTCCTATTCGATAATATTTCATGACACCTGGGCATTTTGATCACACAGACGAAAAACTTTCCACTCCTACTCTTTCATTGTGTCAAGATTTGTTTTGGTCCTTTTGGAAAATGAAAAAAATTATAATTAAAACATCTTTGCTTGATGGAGATGCCTAAATAAGAACAAAGACTTTTCAGGATTCTTACCAATTTCTGTTTTGTGGATCTTTGAGCTGTTTTTTACATTTTTTCATGCATTTTATTCCAAGTAGTTACTATGATCTCAAAAGTGTAGAACCATTATGAATCTTGACATTAACCAAACTACAGACAGTCAGATGCTCTTTTCCAAATAACTGCATGAAGCATCAATGCATTTTCTGACTCACCAACATAGTAGTAGTATAGTTTGAGTACAAAAACTCTTGGCTCTAATGCTTCTAGGTACTTACATCCAGCCATACTTTTTTTTAAGGGGTACTTATGTTTGGTGTTTTTATAATTATTCCAGTCGTGCAATGCCTCACATAAAGACATTCACGCGGTATAATGGCCAAAATCTTGCGTAAGAGTCCATCTCACATTTTCTTTCTGGATTTTAGGTCACCTCATAAATCATGCTTTTACCTGTTGAACTCTTGTTCTCTTCCATACTGTTACCATCAACAGGTGGTTCTTGCTCACTTCAGCCAACCTCAGCAAAGCTGCCTGGGGGGCTCTTCAGAAAGGCAATTCCCAGCTGATGATCCGTTCCTATGAGGTATCTTTATTCTTTGGAGATACTTCATCGAGGTTATGTGCAATGATGAAATGCAATATAGTTTATCATACTTTTTATTGCCCTTCTCTATCTCATGACTATCAATTGAGCATAACATCTCTAGATGTCTCTTTAGATTAGAAAACTTATACTCATATTTCCCATGCTTGCCTCTTCAATAAATAATTTTGGGATCATAGTTTATTTTGAGATAATTTCAGGAACTCTCTCTGAATTTCTAACAGTTGCACTACTGGCCTTCCCTAAGGTATCAAAAATAATCAAAGAGGGCCTCTCAGTGCTCACCTCGAGCATGAAAAAATAACTTTAGTACCCTTGCAGCTTACAAGATATTTGGCAACTAAGTGGACATAATCACTTATATTGCTAATAAACCAAATTAATAAAATGCACCACAATTGTAAGTTGTAACTAAAAAAATTTAATTTGCCATGAGAAAAGGGGGCCAATTGAAGGTACATTTTCCTGGTTGATATGCTTCACAAGCAAAAAAAAAAAAAAAAGTGAAAAATAGAGAAATAGACTTTTTGTTTTGTTTTTTTTTTGGCTCAGGAGGCTTCAAGTGGACCAAAATGCTCTTTGATGCTTGTCAAAATTCATAATATTGATTTTGAGCTTCTTAATTAAGGTAAGAGGGCAATATTTTTTTTTAATGTAGAAGTTATCCATTGTTGTAAATTTCTAAATATTATTGCTTCTTGATCATGCTAAATAATGGCCCTGCAGCTGCAAGTGAATATATAATAAATTTGTTGGAGTAAATAATGGCCCACATTTTTTCTTCAAGTACCACATTTCCTTTCTCACATTGGAGCAAGAGGCCTGCTGGAAAGGGAATCAACAGTGACAGGTGACTTGTCGCAGTAAATATCTGTTGGTGATGCTGTGATATTCCCCACGATCTCGATCGCACCAAACCGTTCTGAATCGTTCAATTTCTATCTTCTCTTCTTCAACCCTACACGTTCACTGCTTTGCCCCCACATCTCTAGATCTTTCTCTTAGATATTTTGAACAACTTTTTTCCTCCCTATAATCTTGTTACACTATCCTCTCTTCTCATCACCCTAAGTTCTTGACCCTTCGCCTAAAACCCTCTTGCAAAGAATTCCATCCACTAATTTCAATGGCAACCATGGCTACAACTCTCACCTCTTCTCCTAAGCCATCATTCTTAGAGACCAAGTCCTCTTTCCATGGCTCCCTATCCTTTCTCGTGTTCTGCCGGTCAAGTCTAGCCCGCAAAACTTCTCGGTTACAATGTCTGCATCCACTCCACAGTACAACATTGATGCCTTCAAGTTTCAACCAATTCAAGAATCCATTGTTTCGCGAGAAATGACTAGGAGATACATGACGGACATGATCACCTACGCGGATACTGATGTTGTGGTGGTTGGCGCTGGCTCTGCGGGCTCTCTTGCGCCTATGAGATCAGCAAGAACCCCAACATCCGTGTCGCGATTATTGAACAATCTGTTAGCCCTGGCGGCGGTGCATGGCTTGGTGGGCAGTTGTTTTCCGCCATGGTTGTGAGGAAACCGGCTCACAAGTTCTTGGATGAGCTTGAGGTCGAATATGATGAGCAAGATAACTATGTGGTTATCAAGCACGCGGCTTTGTTCACCTCCACTATCATGAGCAAGCTCTTGGCTCGGCCTAATGTGAAGTTGTTCAATGCTGTTGCTGCTGAGGATTTGATTGTGAAGGGTGGAAGAGTGGCTGGAGTTGTGACCAACTGGGCTTTGGTTTCGATGAACCATGACACACAATCTTGCATGGATCCTAATGTCATGGAGGCTAAAGTGGTGGTCAGCTCTTGTGGTCATGAAGACCTTTTTGGAGCCACTGGGGTTAAGAGGCTCAAGAGCATTGGAATGATTGACAGTGTTCCGGGGATGAAGGCTCTTGACATGAATACTGCAGAGGATGCCATTGTCAGGCTTACTAGGGAGATCGTTCCGGGATGATTGTCACTGGCATGGAAGTTGCAGAGATTGACGGAGCCCCAAGAATGGTAATGCCTTTTACCTAAATTATGACTACCTTTTATATCTGTTCTTAATTTGACATATAATTATATTTATTGGATGAATGGCCTAGAATTTTATGCTCCAAATTCAACTTGTCAGCTAGGTTACAAAAGACCACATCTAATCAAATTTTGCCATATCATCTGATAAGTTGTAGCTTTGTCCACCTCAGTTCTCCCTCAACATAGTTCCAGGTTAGGTGGAGAAATGGATCTGTTAAACAATCTGAATAGGTATCGTTGAAGTAAAATTACTACTGTTCCAATAGGTTAAGATCATTTGCCTTTTGTTATCTTGGACAATTGGGTTCTTTCATATCTAATGTAACTGCGTATTTGTTGATGACAAGTTGAAAATGGTGCTAAAATTGGTGAGAATGGCTTGTAATGTTGCAGGGTCCAACATTTGGGGCAATGATGATATCTGGGCAAAAGGCGGCACATTTGGCATTGAGGGCATTGGGACAGCCAAATGCTCTAGATGGAACTCTAAGCGAAGTCAATACTGCTCAACCAGACCTAATCCTTGCGGCAGAGACTGAAGAGGTTGTTGATGCTTAATTCCCATGAAAACATTTAGGTAATTGCGCAGGGAAATCAATCACCGAAAAGGACAACCAAATCCATGATCCTTTTTGTTAGGGGAAATAGGATGATTAATGTTAGACGCGACAGTGGAATGTGTACTGCTTTAGCTGCTAGTACCATGAAATTGCCTTTGCCACATCTATTCTCATTATTGGGCATAGCATCTAGTATGATGTGAACCGGAGAATAATGCTGTATGTACAATGGAGAGGATGTTGAGGATTGAATAAAACATATGTGGCAAAGATTTGTGTGCATTTATTAGCAAGTTTACGCTTCAACAACTCAGTAATCTAATGTTCCAGATCAGAACAAGAATGTACAATGGAAAAGTCCAAATAAATCTCATTTGCTCGAGTGTTCTGTTCAACTCCGAAGGAATTGCAGATTCACTTATTTCATCCTAAATTTAGGGTGTGTACTAAGTTGCCTGCTGTTACAATACTATGTGAACAGTTTTTTATTGGCAATCAATCTAAGACAAAACTGAGCCGTGATCAAATATTTTAAGTCCCACATTTGGGTATACCAAACCTCGCTGTCGATTCTCAAAGGCGCTCGTTTAACTTCGTTTCCTCGACGTATATATAATTCCCTTGAAACCTCAGCTCGCTGAACCAAAATCCAAATGCCTCTCCCCAAAGAATATAAAATCTTGATCAGAAACCTCTCAAGTTCAGCATCAGAAAGCTCAAATTGGAGAACACGAGTCCAAGAAAGCCAACTGACCACCCAGGTCTCGTCTATCCTCTTGCAAAGACAGACAAAATACTGGGCACCACTTCTTAAGTCCACCCTCAAACTCACCAAATTACACCCTTCTCTCTTCCTACGAGTCCTCGAAAACACTAAAAGTTCCCCTCAGATGTCCCTCACCTTCTTCAACTGGGCCAAGAAGAATCTTGATTTCCAACCTGACCTCAAAAGCCAGTGCAAGCTGACCCATTTGCTAGTCGGGTATGGACAAGCCGAGCTTGCAAAACCCATCTTGGATTCTATAATCCTAGACTACCCATTAGGCCGAATCGTGAGTTGTTTTCATAAAGTTGCTAACTTTGAGACGTGTTCCCCTGTTTTATGCTCTGTTCTCGAGGGTTATTGCCGTAGGGGATTATTTTTGGAAGCTTTAGAAGTTTATTGGAAAGCTAAAAAATGGGGACCGGTACGGTTTCAGTTTATAGTTGTAATGCATTGCTAAGTTTGCTGCAAGATAAGAATGAGGTCAGACTGGCTTGGTGTTTTTATGGTTCAATGATTCGAAATGGGGTCTCAGAAAATCAGTTTACCTGGTCTGTTGTTGCCAGGATTCTTTGTAAAGACGGCAAATTTGAGAGAATTTGCAGGATTTTGGATATGGGAATATGTAATCCTTCGGTTTACAGCTTGATAATTCAGAATTACAGTGAGAGAGGGAAGTTTGATGCTACATTTGATTATGTAGCTCAAATGCATGATAAAAAGCTCGATCCAAGCTTTAGTATTTATAGCTCGATTCTTGATGCTGCTTGTAAATATCAAGATGAGAAAGTGATTAACGTGGTAATGGCAGTTATGAAAGACAAGGGGTATCTACCAAAAGGTCTTATTTTGCAGTACGATTCAATTATCCAAAAGGTTGCTGATTTGGGGAAGACATATGCAGCAGGTTTGCTTTTTGATAGAGCCTGTGCTGAGAAGGTTGAATTGCTCGATGCTACTTATGGATGTATGCTAAGAGCATTGTCCAATGATGGCAGAATGAAGGATGCTAGTAGAATGTATGGTATTGTGCGAGAGAGAAAAATGGTGGTGAAAGATAGTTGTTACTATGCATTTGTTAATGGTCTTTGCACACAGACACCATCAAAAGAAATTCATGACTTGCTAAAAGATGTGATAGGTAAAGGATTTGATCCTTGTGTAGCACAGCTATCCGAACATATTAAGGCTCAGTGCGAACACTGTAGGTGGAAAGAAGCTGAGGAGCTCTTAATTTTGATTCTAGACAAGGGGCTGCTGCTGCCAGATGCTGACTGTTGTTGCTCTTTAGTCAAGTATTATTGCTCTCGCAGGCAGATTGATTCAGCCATTATGTTGCACAATAAAATGAAGATGTTGGGAGGCAATTTTGATATCCCATCATATAACACACTTCTGAATAAGCTCTTCAAAGAAAGTAGGGTGGAAGAAGCCCTTGAGGTATTTGATTACATGACAATGCATAAAATATTCAGCACTGAAAGTTTTGCAATCATGATCAGAGAGCTTTGTTATCTGAAAGAATTCAGGAAAGCCATGAAATTGCATGATGAAATGTTGAGATTGGGTCTTAAGCCTAATGGAAGAACATATAAACGCCTGATCTCTGGCTTTGGATGAATGCTTGCTGTTACTGAGCCACCTTTGTGCATATAGCTATATTCCCTATCTTAATTAGCACTTGGAATTTAAGCTGCTGGCTGGAGATTAATAGGATTACCATGCTAGCATTTTGGTAGTTCTTCCCGTTTTAATGTTAGGCATCCCTCCATCTGAGAGATCCAGGCTTTCACACTCAACAGAATTGAGCAGTTTAGGTAACTAAAATCGTCTACTCGTGTTGCCGGAGTTGCTCCTGCTGGCTCATGCAGGGAAGTTTCAAAAGGAAAACATGTGTTCCCCATCACAGTATCACTTTGTTGTTATATAGTTTCTCCTCAAATCAGTGGAATTGTACTAGTATTATCTTTTCTGACTCTTTTTCGAGTGGATATATACGTTACCAAAAAGAAACAAAAGAGTTAGACTAGTTTTTTCGGAGAATCAATTTAACTAAATGAGTGCTTCAAAGTTTTGCATTTTTAGAAACATATAATCAGGTCTGAAATCAAATTACCTGACTCATTAAGGTGGAGAAAGTAAAGTGTACGATTTTCCATTTAGGTCTTAAAATAAAAAAAAAAATTACAAGAAAAATCTATCATTTTGGTCTTAAAATAATGGGAAACAAAAAGAAAATAAAATTCAATACACCTCATCGTCTCTTTCTCCACCAATCAGCTTCCTCAAAAATCCAGCCAGTCAGTCAATGACTCAGTGCAAAGGCACCCTTGTTCTCTTGGGCTCCGGAGCTCGTTGAAGTTGAAACCCTCTTCCTGATTCCTCCTCCACGATAGCAGGCAGCAAAATGGCCTACACAAAAACCCCAATCTTCGTCGTCCTCTTCCTCATCACCCTCCTCCCGATCTCACCAATTCTCAAGACCTCACTTCGGATTTGCTCGTCCAGCTCGAATCCCTCCAATCCCAGTCCCCCAATGGCGGCGTTATCCATCTCACTGATTCCCTCCTCAAACGGATCCTATCCATTCCAGCTCCTCGTCCCTTTACTTTCCTCATCTTCTTTGACGCCCAACAACTCCACTCCAAACCCGAACTCTCCCTCCCTTCTCTCAAATCCGAGTTCTCCTCGTCTCTAAATCCTTTTTAGCCAACAACCCTCCAGCTTCTCACTCAAAACTGTTCTTCTTCGACATTGAATTTCAAGAATCCCAGTCCTCTTTCGCCCTTTTCGGAGTAAATTCTCTGCCCACATCAAACTTATCCCCGCTGAAGCCACCGATGTCAAGAAAGACTCCTTCCAGATGGATGCGTCAGATTTCTCGAGGCTCGCCGAATCCATGGCTGAATTTGTCGAGGCCAAAACGAAGCTGAGCATTGGGCCGATTGATCGCCCTCCTTTGATTTCTAAGAAGCAATTGATGTTTCTGTTGTGTTATTCTGATTTGGGCTCCATTCTTGGTGAAAAAAGTGATTTCTGGGAACACCCTTTTGCACAATAAGAGCGTTTGGATGACCGGAGCGATTTTCGTCTACTTTTTCAGTGTCTCCGGGTCAATGCATAACATAATTAGGAAAATGCCCATGTTTTTGGTTGATAGGAATGATCCTGGGAAGTTGGTTTTCTTTTATCAGGGGTCCGGGATGCAGTTGGGAGCTGAAGGGTTCGCGGTTGGGTTCTTGTACACTGTGGTGGGATTGTTGCTGGCTTTTGTTACTCATGTGCTTGTCTATGTGAGGAATAGGAATGCTCAGAGGTTGGTGATGATTTTTGTGATGTTTGTTTCCTTCTGGGCTGTTCAGAAGGTGGTCTTCTTGGATAATTGGAAGACTGGATATGGTATTCACGCTTACTGGCCAACAAGCTGGAAGTGATTGTGGTGATTGATTTGAGGCTGATTGACGTAGAGGCGCCTTAGCCATTGGCTTTGGGTAAGAGATTTGTACCAGTTTAGATTGTAAGACAGAGCAAGTGATAAGGAAATTTAAGTGACGACATAAATATTTCGACTTTACATTGTCTGTTTTATTTCTACTTAGGATGGATGTATACCTCACCGCTACCTGAGACTGCACTATATGTGCTGGTCGAAATTTTCAACACTGGCAATGTGCAACCTTTTCTCGTACTGATTTCATATTATGCCTTAAACAGTTTATTAAAAATTTTATGTTTGCAATGGCTGGATACTACCGTGCTTCATTCACTACTAGTGAGTTTCCAACAAGCATTTTCCCAGCCGTGTTTAGCTTTAGAATATACATTGTGAACTTGTTGAGTTACTTGTGTCTTAGTCTTTCTCTTTTGTATTTATAGATGAATGTCTGCTTTCTTGTAATTCTGGGACTAATCTGTCAAATACTTTTGGATGTCCTTGTTGCGTGGTCTATCTTCTGAAATTTACACATTTAGATGATGTTTATAATTTGGTTAAAGAAAAGGGTAAGACTTCCTTTTGGCATAGGTAAAGTGAGAGGGGGTTTAATTATGCTACATTTGGCACAAAGAATTGAGTTTTAGAGTCCCCTTGTCCTGTTGTAGAGGCTAATAGATGAAGTGGCAACTCTTATATCTTCTTTACTTTATTTGAGATGCTTATTGATTCGCACAGTTGTGGTCATTAGAGTAAAGCATAGAGGTTTCCAGTAATTATAAGTAACCTGCGAACTCTGTTTTCCAAATGTTCCCCACACCCCCCCCCCCGGGGGCCCGCAGGGAGAAAAAATTCCCCAATCCTCAATTACTATATTACAGGCATAGCAAGGATTTTTTTTGGACAAGTTGTTATAGGATCTTAGAAATGGAATAAATAAGAGGTGTAACTGGCAAAGGTAAAAGTGCTGAAAAGTATATAAATATATGAATGCCCCTTTCCAGGTGTGTTTAAATAAAAAACAAGAAACATGAACAAGATGATGGTGGAAAATCTGGATTTAGAGCTGGTATCTCAGTTGATTTTGTTGCTCACTGTGCTTTGAGTTGATCATAATTCATAACCATTTTGGTTTGATTCTGACCAATGAGTCAACTTTTGATAAAGACTCTGTATGTCTTAAGCAAATATTCTTAATTGGCATTGTCAATATATTTGGTGACTCTTAGCTTATCTTCTTTGTAATTTTTTGTTCTTTCTTGATTCCTTTGCTAAATTGAAGGAGGAGCTTCCTGGCACCCTTAAGCTTTTGCTGAATGGAATCATGGATGGCTTATGGATTTCTTCATTTTTTTTCTTTATTAGATGAGGCATCTACTTATAGTGCCCGTAGTTTCCTCACCCTCTCCCACACACACACAGAGCCCCCCCCCCCCCTCCCAACCCAAAAAAAAACTCTCTTCTTATTTGTCCATTTTAATTCGCCAGGAATTATGAGATTGAGGAGATAATCTCTGTTGAATTTGTCATGGTAACTCTGCATTTCATCTCAGTTAGAAGATGGTACAAGGATATAAGCTATGCCATTGATAACATGATTTTGTAGCTGCTTGGAGATATACTTTTCCCTGCTGTCCAGTCTTTTGCTAAATTCTTAGATGGACATGTGCCACCATGGACTGTGAGATGAGAATGTGGGACCTACATATTGGCTTACAGGTCCATGGTGGCACAAGTTCACCTAGGATTATCTTCCAGTTTTAGATGATCTGTTGCCTTCTGTTCTCATGGACATAAAATAAGTTGTGATAAACTGATTGTGGTTTTGGGCATGACCCTATTAATTTAGGGTTGCTGTTGATTTTGTATCCGCATGAACTATAGCTTATGGATAATGATGTCATCCATTATCTCCATTTCCACACTGAGAGGAATGCAGATAAGTATATCCAGCATGACTCTTGAGTTTGAAATTAGTGAATAGCAGAGGCTTTTACTTGGCAGTCAAAGACGTGCATTCTTTGGTGATAACGTCTTTGGCTTTTCAATGTTCTCTCACCTAGTTAAAGAATGAATCTTGTATTTTTAATGATGATAGTGGCAGTGGAGGATCTGCAGTTGTATCATAGTAGTCTACGAAGTCTTGATACGGTGAATAAAGCAATTTGTTATTTACCTTTGTTGAATCACAGCTCATCAAATTCGGGAGAGGTTGAATCCTCTGGTGATTATGCATCCCAGTGCATTCTCAATAGCCCTGTTAAAACTGTTTTTGTCCATTGAGGTCGTCATATATAAATGTCTGGGCTCTTAAAGTTAGACAAGGCCATGTCGGTCATCACCATGATGAGTCGGAACTTACTTGTGATGAATGAAACCTTCCTCTGTGGACAGGAGAGTGCTTGGTTAGGCATGACAGGATAGAATGTTCAAAGTTGATGCAGTCTCTACATAATCTACGAGCAGAAAATGTTTATGGATGTTAAGGTCCATGTACTGGGATGTGGTGATAGTCTTATTAGCATAAGCATCAGCCAGGAAAACAAACTCTCGTCAAAATAAAGAATATATTCCTTCCCCAAGAAAGTAAACGGATCATTTTGCGTCTTGAAGACTTCCCTATGAGGGAAATCAACTTTCAAACAGCAGTTTTTCCTCCCGACACGTTCTTTTTCAATCTCTATGGATAAAGTTCTTCTGGGGCGGCAAAAAAGTCCTGTAAACGAAGAGGGGTCGGTTTGCTTCAGGCAGATGCTCTGTGCTAGATCGCATTACGCACCCCAAATTTAATAATGTCTTTTTTCACAACTTAGCGTAGCCATGCAGCAGACTGGGAGATGCCTTGAACGGCATATTCTATTTAATTGCCCTTGTGAACCTATCAAAATCATATTTTTCTATTGTGTCATAGCTCATATAATCTTCACAACTGCTGCAGTTATTCTTCCTAAATTCTCAAAGTCCGAGGGAAGAAAAGGAAAGATGGAAGAACAAGTTGAAATGGTGGGGAAAGCATTTGTGGATCATTACTACCACCTGTTTGATAATGACAGACCTTCTCTTGCTCTTCTGCTACAACCAACTTCCATGCTTACATTTGAAGGCCAAAAGATTCAGGGACAGATAATATAATTGCAAAGTTGGTGCAATTGCCATTCCAGCAATGCCATCACGTAATTAGCACCAT